TCTTTGTGTGGACTGTGATGCTCTGTTGTCTCCTAGGCATTGTGACATTTTTGTGTTTATATTTAATTGGTGATTGTATGTTGGAGTGACTTGCCTACGATTTTCTTTTTCTTTGTTTTGTTTGTATGTTATCTTCACAAGCAGGGTACTGTGTTCCTCTATTCACTAGTTGACAGCACTTACACACTCATCACTTGCCTCCTTTCCTGTTGTCAGCTTCTCATATATCCCTACTGACCTTGGCAAACAGAGCCCATTCTTAGGTCCCTGGAATCTGAATGAGAATGCTGTCACTTTAAAATCCAAAATGATTGCCACTTGTAAAGATTCTAAATGGCCACACCCTAGGTCACTTTATATTTATTTATTTATTGTGATTTGGGTGAAAATTTACAGACTAAATTCACTTTGCATATAGCAGTTCACATACACTGTGTCTCATGACATTGACTATAATTTACCACAATGCAACAGCTCCCCTCCCATTTCCTCCTAATAGTTACCTCTTCCCAGTGTCCATCTTTCCATGTACTCCTGCCCCTTGAGCTGTTTCCCTGTGCATAAACAGCCCTTCTTTCTCCCATGATTGTTCTTCCCAAGGAGTGTTTCCACCTCAGGTAAGTGTTTAACTCATATGCGTGTCTTTTGTTTGGCTGGAAGCCACAGGTGTGGGTTCAATTCCAGACCTGAAGGGCAGCTAGGGGCCATAGGCTCAGTGGTTCCACCATGCTCTCTCAGACCACCAAACCTGATCCCCCCCCCCTTTTTTTTTTTCTCCAAATGATTTTGAGTTTTTTTCCACATTTCCTCCCTCTCTATCCAGGATTTCTTACATAGATCCCCCTCCAAGTGGTTGACAGTGGTAGCCGAACACCATCTGGTTCTTCTCATCTCATAGTCATATAGGCTGAGGATTGCATGGTGTACCAGTCACTAGGACTAATTGTTTCCATGAATCTTAGGTTTTCTTCATTCTTCTTTGCTCTGAATGATGAGAGACCTATCGTTGCATCTAGATGGCTGTTTGCAAGCTTCTAAGATCCCAGTAGGTCACTTTAAATATCCAAAATGGCCACCCCTTGTAAAGAATCAAAATGGCTGTCCTTCTGTCACTTTAAATATCCAAAATGGCTGCCACTTATAAACATTCAAAGTGGCTGCACCCTCCAGACAGCAGAAAGTCAACAGCTCAGGTTGTCTCCCTCCTTGCTGTTTCCCTTCCTAGTCATAGGCCACCAGCACAGTCATCCCAGCAGCCCTTGGTAATGAGGGCTGATCTTTAGGTCAATTCTCAGGTCCCAACACCACCTGGAAATATGCAGGCTATTGGTCCTGTCAGAGTAGCTGATGGGTTGCAGCTCCAACTATCTCTGTATTCACTGTTTTCATTCAGGTTTTTCCACTAGTTGGTGCCTAATCCACTTCTATATTGTTGTTTGTTGTTTGTTGTTGTTATGTGCCGTCGAGACAGACTTGACTCATAGTGACCCCTCCTTGGGTTTCCGAGGCAGTATCACTACGGAAGTAGATTGCCCCATCTTCCTTCTGAGGAGTGGCTTCTGTATAGTTCCTTTCAAAGCTCATATAGAGAACTGCCATTGACCACACTAAACAATCCATAGAGGGCCAGGACATTGAGGAACCAGGTGCAAAATCAGGTGAATCCTTCAGCTAGACTGTTACAACAAAACAATCAGATTCTGTGGATAATCACTGGATTTTATGGGACTGGTTCTAGAAGGCATCATTTTGTTGCCTTTTGAAACGACAACAACATATTCAAGTACATCTCTCTTTTCTGCTCATTTTTACCCTCAGTTGAAGATTCCTGTCTCTGGGTCTAAGGCCAAGGGCTTACCTCTACGTCAGGTCATCCAAGGATGCCCCCTTTAAGAGGTATGCACAGGAAAGTGGGTGGGGGAAACGACAAGAACCTTTCAATGAAACAGTCCTGACACCATTTTCTTTTGTAATTAAACGATTGTGTAATAAGAATTAGCTTTTCAAAGCTTGAAGCTGAAAGCTTCATGGCCTGGGCAGCAAGCCAGTGCTCTGGCTCTTAGCTCAACACTAACCCTTTGCCAGATGAGTCTACTGGATTGTCCTCTCCTGTGCTGCTGAGTTTGACAGACTTTCCAGTTACACCAATCTTGGCCTGTGATGATTTGATGCTGTGTTACAGCTTCTAACTCAACTTGTTACAGGTGAATAAGGCCTGGGTTCCTATTCCAGAATTATTCATCACATTCTTTACATAAGTTCTCCACCCTGTTAATTGGCTTTTCTTGTCTGGTTGCCAATAGCTACGTCCACTCACTTCCCCCATGGGAAACCTCTCAGAGATGTTTGCTCTCCTGCCAGGATGTGTTTTAATTCCCGAGGACAAAAGGATTGGGTGGCCCTTCAGCCGCCTCCACCCAACTCACCCTGGGCTCACTGAGCCCTTGTTGGGGATTAGTTCAGGAGCTGGCTGCATTCCAGGCCAGGAACAGAAGGTTGGTGTGGGTTAGGAAATGGCAAATGAGCAGCTCCTTCTTCTTCCTGAGCCCCTTCCATTCACCCATCAGTCATTCTTCCTTAAATGTGCCCTGCCATTACTACTGGTTAAATAAAGAAAGCTTGTAAAATGATATTAAGGATATAGCACTACCAGAACATAATGTTAAAAAATTCTCAAGACATTCTTCCAAACAATTGCTTTTTTTCCCCCTCTTTTGACCATATTTTGTACCCAAGTGTTTTCTGTTGATTAGAGAGACTATACTTTTGCTATCAGGTGGAACCTTCAGGAGGTCTTCTTAGAGCTCAAGAGTGGTCAGAAGATTCCCATGTTCAAGTCCAATGAGGAGAACAGAAATGACACAAAGAAGTGAAGGTGATCAGAAAGACTCAGTTTTCTTCAAGCCTGGCCTGCCTTCTCCAGTGTGCACCTCACAGCAGTGACAGGCGGCAACCCATTCCAGGAGCAAACCCTGCTGTGAGTCTTTTTCCAGCCACCAGTGGGATAATTGGAGGTACCAGCATGTGCTAATGCTACTGTAATTATCACTTGATCACAAGGAAGATTATTCTGGTTTTTTATTTAATCAGAAAGAAACCATTACTATAAGTTCGTAAAATTATTTATTTAAAAGAGCTCTGTATAGAAGAAGCAAAGCACAGGATAGAAGGGAAGACACCTAATAATAAAATGTTTAATTTTTACTGGTTCTCTTTTCCTTATTTTCCTCTCCACACTCCATCCCATAATTTTCAGCCCAAAGATTGAAAAGACTTAGGCTGAAGAGTTTTTTAAATTGTTGACATTAGAATGCTAAGACAAGGCAGTTTTGTTTGAGTTACTTTATCCTGCATTCACATTGTTAAGCGGCTTGTGGGTCTCCTCAGTCCCTTTAGAATATTTTCTTTGCTTCTGTGTTTTTGTTTTCTTAAGTCTGCCTGAGTAAGGTTTGCAAAATAGTTGCTTTCATTTCAAACACTTTGAAAGCTAAAAAATGTGTGTGTGTGTGCAGAAACCTTATGAAAGTTAATTTACAGCTGCTGCTGAGTTCTTATCTCTCTGCTTTCCAGACAGCTTAACCGCCTGTTAGAGAATCATGCCCTTGGGTTTTATTACTCGCGTAAGGGAAGTGGTTTATAAAGCAAAAGATCTTCCCTCTGAGCACTGGAGCCTGCAACACAGAAATCTGCTATCTTTGCTTTTAAAGGCCAATTTAGCCCTCTCTCAAGTGTTATTAGGCCTAGTGCAGTCTTAATTGCCTGCAATAAAGGACATTCATGAGTTCTTTTCCTACATTCTTAATATTCATTAGAGAGAAGCCTCCCAGAAAACATAAGCTTCAACATACTGGTAGAGTACAAGGCCTTTAATCGTTGGACATTATCTCTGTTCTGGAGTTTGTTTCTTTAAAAATTTTGTCTTTTGAAGAGATTACATAGTGAAAAGTAAGTCTCTTTCCCTGAAGGTACTTTTACTAGTATATTTATAGTTAAATATAAACAGTCTTTTAAAATAAATAGCAGTGCCTCATGTACGTGGTTTTGTGCTGCTTTATACTGTAACATTCACATACTTTTCTGTTGTGTCGCATATCAGTTTATGTATTACTTCACCTTGGCCTGTCCCCTGACAACTTTGACCTCCTTTCAGTGTTGGCTAGTTTTTTCTTGCTGTGACCACCAAAGAGCAGTTGCTATGAGTCGGGTCCGACTCGACGGCACATAACTACAAACAATAACAAATGACCACATTGTAGAAAGTCAGGGCCTAGATGGACTACCTGTTCTGAAGTAAAAGCCAAAACCAAACCGAACTCACTGCTGCGGAGTCAGATCCGACTCATAGCGACCCCTCCTTGGGTTTCTGAGGCAGTGTCACTATGGAAGAAGATTGCCCAACCTTCCTTCCAAGGAGTGGCTGATGGGTTTGAACTGCCAGCCTTCTGGTTAGCAGTTAAATGCCTTAGGCACTATGCCACCAGCGCTCCAAGTGACAATTTTTGTTGGTGTAGGGTTTGAGTTAATGAAGAGGTTTTTTAAACCTAGTTGACAGGAAATAGCATTACACAGTGAAAAACTCCTTGGTTTCTATCAGAAAGCTACCATCTTGGGTACTTTTTTAGTTAATGTACTTAATGCCCTTATGGCTGATTCAGAACAGGTGGAGCCTGGTTATTGCAAAACTTTTTTTTTTTTTTTTTTAACTTTTTATTGTGATCTAGTTAAAGTTTATAGAGCAAATCAGTTTTCTTCCAATTCATACACATTTTGTTTCATGTCATTGATTGCAATCCCTTCAGTGTAACATCACTCATCTCACTTCCTCCCTGTGCTTCTCATTTCCATTCCTCCTCCTTTCCTAACCCTTCCTGCCTTCTGAACTTTGACCTGGCAAAAGCTGTTCTTTTGATCGCAGGTACTTGATTGTTCTAAGAAGTGCATACCTCCCTAGTGTTATTGTTGCCTTTGTAGAAATGTCTATTATTTGGCTGAAAATTGAGCCACAAGGGTTAGTTCAGTTCCAACTGTGATGGGTAACTAAAGGCCATAGCCTTGGGGATTCCAACAGTCTCTATCTGCTTGTAAGCCTAGTCTTTTTTACGATTTTGAGTTGTGTTCCACATTTTTCTCCCACTCTATCCAGGACCTTCTTTTGTGATCATTTTCAGAGCTCTGGTGGCATAGAGGGTAAGACATTTGGCTGCTAACCAGGTCGGTGGTTCAAACCAATCAGCTGCTATCTGGGAGGAAGATGAGGCAATCTACTTCCGTAAAGATTTATAGCCTTGGAAACCCAGTGGGGGTTGCTAGGAATCAGAATGGACTCAATGGCAATGGGTTTGTGGGTTTTTTTTTTTTTTTTTTTAGTTCAGTGCAGTCAGTTGTGGTAGCCTGGTACCATCTAGTTCTGGTCTCAGGGTTGTGGAGGCTGAAGCTCACGTGGTCCATTAGTCCTTTAGACTAATTATTTCCATCTGTCTTTGATTTTCTTCACTCTTCTTTACTCCAGACATGGAGAGACCAATACATATTTTCTCTCCTTTTCTTTCAGCATAGCATTGATGTGTATTTGCAGCCCACTATTTCCTGTGTAATCAGTCATCACCATGACTCAGCCATTGCCTCCCAGAAACTACCTTGAAGACATCTTGGAGAGTGCATGTAATCATCAGAGGGAAAGGTGACTTTCTGCCATGGGCAGAGTTTGAGCAAGTGCCCTAGCACATCTTGTAATAGACACAAGAGAGCCCAGTGATTGAGAAAGGGCTGCACTAGAGTAGTGAGAATTGCAGAATTGTAAAGTCTGCAGAGAGAAGACCAGAATCCCACCCAAAAGTGATAGATAGCATGACTCCCGTGTGTGTTTACTGTACAGCATGCCACAGAATCCCACCCTCAAGTTGCTTACCATCTACTGAGGTGGGTGGGTGGGCAGGGGCAAGGGTTTCAAGCAGTGGTGCTAAAATGATGCAGGTGTTCCGATGGGCTTTGGAGTCTAAGGTTGTGATAAGCAGACCAGGTGGAGAATGTCTTGCAAAAGGGAAGAACAACCTGAACAAAGACCCCAGAGAGTAGAAACATGAGCTATGCCCCCAAAATAAGATAGTTTGGTCAGAGTGTAGGTTAAATATACATAAAATAAAAGTCCAGAAATATAAATGGTGAAAGTGTGAGTGACAACATTAAGATTTTATAATAATTTTGCATACAGCTGGTAGCCCTCAAAGATTTTGGCATGAGCAAATATTTGTATTGCTAATGAAGGCTTCAAAGACTGTGGTCAGTATATACTGACAGGGCCTATGTGAGCTAAATAAATCACAAATTATACTGTCATTTGTTCCACTTTTCTAGAACTGGCCTCCTACAGCTCTTCCTTCCAGTCAACTCCTGCTCCCAATCCAGGGACCTGTTAAGACAAGGTTATATTACTACCAGCTTTGGTAAAGGTGTATATAGCAAAGCTGAAGCTGAAGTAAATCGCATGTACATTGAACAGGCAGAGCTTGATGAAATTGGGGTCTTAGCCCTTTGGCATAGTGGAAGGCCAGGAAAATGCTAAGTAGGCAGCAGTTTTGATGTTTTCTGAAGGCAAGCAGTCTGGAAGCAGCCTAAGGCCACTTGACTATTTGGTGTTTTTGATTTGTCCATAGAGAAAAAATATAAATAAATATTTACCAGTCGCCTGCCTGGCAGTTGAGGCAATGTTGACATTGCACGTTGGGGGAAGCTTGGGTGAGAGATGCTGTCTAACCAGAGCATGATGACTGGGGAGGTCAAGGCAGTGGGTGGTTGATAGGAAACCTCTTGTCTCCACCCGCAAAAAAATTCTTGCCTCTTTGATAACCCTGTTCACGGTTCAGGCTTGTCTTTTGGCAGGGTTCAGCAGAGTTGTTTGGTTGAGAGTACTGTCAGGAATGTGCACTGAAAAAAAATGTAACATTTTACAATCCACAGTAGAGAAGTAGGAGCTATTACAAACATGCTTCTCAGACAGGTTGGGTGCAGGTAAGTGAAATTTGACTTTTCAGGAGAGAGTGCTTTTCATTCCTAAGTTATCTTCCTATTTATTTATTTATTTATTTTTTACCTCAGAGGAGATTTCCAACAGGATTATAAGAAAGATCATTTTCAGTATAACATTGAATACTTTTCATTATTGTATAGTAAGCCCTTGAGGCAGAAACTAGCTTTTCACCTACTACATAATGATAATACTTGTGGTTTTAGTCATGTTAGTGTTAGTTACCTAGCAGTCTTACTTAATGAGAAAGGAATTTTTTACTTCTAAATTATTTGTATGAAGTGAGTATAATACCAATATAAAAATCTGACAGACCATCCGCAAAAGAAAGTAAAAACTCCCTTAAGAATATCGAAAGAAAATTTCTAAATACAGTAAAGCTGAAACCTGTGTAAAGCTTCAGAAACCTGTCAGAGAAGAAAAAGTCAAATATTTTCCACTAAAACAAGTGATAGGAAAGTGATAAGACTACATCCTGTCAAAGGCAGGAAACTGAGAGACCTAGAAAAACAGGGCAGGGGCAAGGGTTTCAAGCAGTGGTGCTAAAATGATGCAGGTGTTCCGATGGGCTTTGGAGTCTAAAGTTGTGATAAGCAGACCAGGTGGAGCATGTCTTGAAAAAGGGAAGAACAACCTGAACAAAGACCCCAGAGAGTGGAAACATGAGCTATGCCCCCAAAATAAGATAGTTTGGTCAGAGTATAGGTTAAATGTAGATACAGTAAAGAAAAGCCCAGAAATGTAAATTGGTCAAAGTGTGAGTGACAACATTAAGATTTTGTAATAATTTTGCATACAGCAAAATTGAGTTCTGGTTCCATTGAATTCTGATTCTCACAGGTTTCACTG